ACCAAACTAATTACGTCCACTATCAAATATCAGTGTTGGTCTATCACTGTAGAGTCAGTGTGCAGTAAACGCACAATCAAACTCTTAGTAACTGGTGGAGTAGTCTCGGAGAGATGAAGGAAAGCAACATAAGGGTGTGCCTTTAAAGAAATCTTACTCTAATGGTTTTTGGGTTGCAACACTTAAAATTCTTCACGCAGTACATCTTCTCTTTCCGTGCTCATCAGCACTGCAGAAGAAAGTTTGCATTTAGTCAGCGTACTCGATAATGTTACTCAAAAACGCCCGCTTCGCTTCGAGAAATGTAGTGTAATTTCAAAAATGCAGGCGAAAAAAGCTGCAGAAAAGTCAGAGATCCGGCTGGATAGATTTCGAAGGGTTATTTTTCAAATCTGCACTGTTCTTTTTCCTAAAAAATAACGCTTCCTTCACCTCTCTGTTTACCAATACCTATTGACCAGTGAGTTGACCTGCTTGAAGCTGACGGGTCCTTTTTATCTAAATGGGAGGAGCTGGCTAGGTGAGTTCTAAAAACTTACTGAAACAACGATTCTTCCATATTTATGCCTTAAATCTCTGGGCATGGGATAACAGTTCCCTTCTTACTCCTCATCTTTATTAGAAAAGCTTGATTTTTTTCGGATGAAAAAAATAAGATTACCCGGAAATGATTCATGCCTTCTTCATAAAAAGAACAACGTTCTAGAAGTGCGAGCGAAGCAAGCACCCCAGAAAAGTCCGAGGTCCGGCGTAGCCGGAATCTCAGACTTGTTATCTGTATTCATGTTCTCGAAAATGTAACTGTACAAATCAGCACCTGTAGAAATGTAGATACGAAGTTGCCATTTTCATGAAATTTGAGCAACAAACGCTGCATATTATAGTCAAGTTGGCCAGTCGGTGCTAAGTTGTAAGGTGTGCAGTGACAGAAATCATTGGCCATGGCGCAAAATTCCACTCGAGACCAGCTCCTGACAGTAACGGCTGATCATCGCTTCGCGCTAGAGCTAATTTGGGGACGCCTTTTTTCTCTGATTTGTGTAAGCACACCCAGCACAACTTTGCACCGACTGGATCAATGTGCATTCCTTCGAAATGGGTCTGCGGAAACGGAATAACTAATTAGCTAAGAGTATCGTTTAAAAAATAAATATTTTAGTTGAAGTTGACTTTGCTACATAGATGATGGCGAAAGGTGGAATAGAGAAATTTCGTAGATCAAATAACTGCGCTAAAGAGTTTTCTGGTATGGTACGATGGAATGAGTTAATTGAACTTCGGAAGTAGGAGCAGCAGACAAGTCCACGAAGTCAAGAAGATCCAGTAAAGACTTGTCAAGGATATTCCTGCGACAAACTCAAGATATTTTGCAAAGCATTTCCACTCATTGGTAAGGACAAGTGGGCTCAGGAAGCAAAACGAAAATAAGAGCTTCTGATCAGGACTTATGTACCGCAAGTATTATAAAAAATAGATTAGCTAGTGTAAAGACAAAGTGGGATGCATTGCAAGAAAAGTTACCTTTTTCTCGGTGACCCTGCCTGGCGGTGTACTTTCAGGCAAGCGCGAAACGCGTGCCATGCAGCATGTATTGGGCTTCGATAGGGCGACAGGCAACTGCCGCAGAGGAAGTGAGCAGGCGAATGTGGGAAGTGTGCACTTCTGGTAAATAAAAACATTAGCTTTGCATAGATGCAGATCTGCGCGCGATTAGTGAGAGAATCGGGAAGAGCAGACTGGAGCGCTTCTACTCTCATCCTTGAAAACAAGTGAAGTTTTGTTGAAGATGCTTGTTTATACATTGCATTATCCTATACTAGGTTTTCTAATCTTATGCGGTAAAGAGCTTATGGGCTGTATAGTCCCCAAACAAAACAAGTCTCCCAACACAGAACCGATTCCGTCAGACTTCGGTGAAAGCATCAGAGCTTTAGCAAAAACCCGTTGCTATGAGGACCGCAGCGATATCGATGTGAACCCCTCCTTGCCCCTGTGCTCACCTCATCAGAGTTAATCTTTTCAAGTCACGCAAGCTATTAGGCTGGTGCATGTGAAACATTGCGTGGCCGCAGTCAAAATTTTAGGCCAAAGTTGCTGAAGAAACATGGTACAGCAATTTTTTAGCTCTTGTCCTTTGTGCGGTCAAAGCGACAACTACATTATACTAGCATTGTCAGGGTGTTGCTACCAAGATATGCTGTGCATAATTTACGAGGATATCTAGGCAATGATGAATCCGGCTCGTATTGGGAATCATCAAAGATGACAGCCATAGAAAAACGAATTCTTTGTCTTTTTTGCATACCTTCTACAGATTTATCCAAAGCCGAAGTAAGAGAGCACGAAATCTACAATTCCCCAAGAAAACTTTGTCCAAGTTAGGAAAATGAACGAGTTGTCCATCCCTCGTACACTTTGCAGATGTTGGGACAATCGAAAGTGGACACTTAGACTTTCTACCTGCGCCGCGTAGACAGGAACCACTGCAGCTCAGATCTGGGGCCGTATGCACATCTTTTTCCACGAGGGGAGCTACGGTACGCCATCCCATTAGACTGAAGTAGGGAGAAGAGAGGGGTAGGCGGATCTCGCTAGCCCTGAAATTGTGCCCACTGCGCGGAATAGCCCCATCTTGTCCCCCTCTCTCGCGAAATGCTTCGCGGGGACCGTGTGCATACCGTCATTGTTATTTTCATATGCGTTGCAGAAATCCTGAGCCCCTGCGATTTATGTACCGTCGATTCGCCCAGATAGTAGTGCCTCGGTCATCGCGGTTTGGTGCAATTGCGTACCAGGCAGTTCACGGCATCGGTTGTCACTAGAGCAGCAAGCGAGAAGGCTGGAAACAGCTAATTCTCGCTTGCAGCTCCAGCGACAACCGAGCTGCCCTGCCTGGTACGCAATTGCACCAAACCGCGATGACCGAGGCACTATCTGGGCGAATCGACGGTACATAAATCGCAGGGGCTCAAGATTTCTGCAACGCATATGAAAATAACAATGACGGTATGCACACGGTCCCCGCGAAGCATTTCGCGAGAGAGGGGGACAAGATGGGCTATTCCGCGCAGTGGGCACAATTTCAGGGCTAGCGAGATCCGCCTACCCCTCTCTTCTCCCTACTTCAGTCTAATGGGATGGCGTACCGTAGCTCCCCTCGTGGAAAAGGTGTGCATACGGC